ACTCTCCTTCCTCTGCACGTGTCCAGACCATCTAAGACTTGCCTCTTTCTTTCTTTGGTTTCTCCTCTGATTTACTCGATTGTATTCCTGCATTCAGAGAACAAGGTCCATACAATTTGTGATGTGTTTTGATATCATGGAGGAATCTCTCTTATGTGTCTCTGCAGTGGGAGTCAGCTGTCAGATGCATCTACTGATTATAGACCGGTACGTACCCGACCTTCACCACACACACCAGAAAACCCGCCTCAAGGCTGAAACTGAGATGTAGCTCACTAAATCCAGGACCACAGACTAAAACCTCAACCAACTGTTTCCACCTGGTCACCTGAAACAAACACACACACACTTTTATTTTCTTGCAAATCCTTCACTAATGTGTTGTGTTTCCCTCCAGCTGTACTTCAAGATTCTGCAGGAGAATGTGTCTCTGAAGGAGAAGCTGCAGGAGATGGAGCTGCAGCTCAGCCAAAACAAAGTGGAGCTGGAGAGACTCCGACAGGTTGGGCAGGTTTGCTGATGCCTCTGACATTTAAGCAGCGTGTGAGGCGTTATTTAAAAACAGGGACGTGCTCGCTGGGCTTTGACGTTGTGTCAGCCAAAGTAAGCAGAGGAAACCAGAAGTAGGCCTCAAGGTCACAGCGAGACGCCGATGCTCTAAATGACAGGAACATCCAGAAAATAAGATGAAGATTATTTGAACTGAGAATCATGCAAAGCTATTCTAGAGCCCAAGAGTAAAACATCAAGCTAAAAGAGCAATATTTTATTTTGTTAGCTTGTCATCATCGTAATATATTCTCAGCTCTCACATTACATCCGTGCACCTGAATAAAATGATCATCATTTCTGTGTGTGGCAGAGTCAGGAGAGCAGCACAGACCGGCCGGCCCTGCTGGAGCTGGAGAGATATGTAAGTTGTTTTTTGCTTGTTTGCGGTTGGTTGGTGTTGGGTTTTTGTGGTTTTTTTTTTTTTTTAGCTGGGAAAATCCCCTGAGATTAAAATCTTTTTCAAGAATTCACACCATCAGAAGCTTAAAAAATTAAATTCATTAAATCGAGCGTAACAAAAATGGACATGGTGCAGTAACAAAGGATAATAAAACACAAAAATAGGAAGAGCGCCTCCAGTCTGTGCTTACAGAATGTTTTAGAAGAGCTTTGAGCTTTCAACAGGGAAAAAATCATCAAGCTGCATGTCTTGGCACATCACATCCTAGATGTTGTCAGTCTAGATATGCAGGCTCGCCACATACAGTGCTGTGCAAAAGTCTCGAGCCACCCAAGACACCTGTAGATACATCTACAAAATATCTTTAAGGAGTCTTCAGGAAAGGTTCTCCACTCACTCACTTCTCTCCATGCTTGCGGCCTTTTCTGTTTATTTCTCTGTCAAGATGAACATTTCCTGAGTGCTCAGATACCGAAGCATCTGAAGTGTGAGACCTTTCAGTTTCTGTCCCCTCCTAAAGTGAGACTTATTTGTGACTGACGGGAACGCTAATGAAACTAAGCCTTTATTTCCTGTTGAAAGTGTGGGGGCTGAGTATTTTCTGTGTTCATAGCAATCTTGAAAGTTGTGATCAAATATGAGGTCAGAGTGCGGGGGCACATTAACAGCTCTGCAGGCTCTGCAGTGTGTGAAACCCCGGTCGAAACGTCGGTTTCACGCACTGCGGAGCAAACGTTTTTGCTCCGGCTGCTTCAGCCAGTTTGATGTGCCGCTGCTCTTGTTCACAGGAGAAGCTGAAACTCCAGAGGAAAGCAGGGGAACTGGAAGACGAGCTGAAGGTACAGATGTTCACTGCAGAGCTGAAAGCCGACTGATGATAAACGAGAGCAGAATAGGAATAAAATAGCAAACAGAACCACTTTATGGCTGCGACACACAAATCGAAACGAAAGCAGTGAGCTCAGTTATTCTGACATACGCCGTGACCTCGGAAGCTTCTAGAAAGCTAGAAGCTTTTAATCCTTCGATACATCAGTTTATTGAGACGGAGATGTGTTTGTGCTGCTGTATGAAGTTTGGCGTGAGCCTCTGGATAGTAAATGAAAAGTTGAACTCAATTAAAACAAAAATAAACATTTTTTTAACCCCACAAAAATAAAACCAGTAAACAAACGCTGGTATTTTTAGTCAGTTAAGTTTGTCCCAAAATGATTGGGAGTGCATTACTGAGTGGCACGCGTGCTTGTGTAGTCAGTAACGTCGGCAGGTGGGAGCTGAATTCTTGTGCTCTGTAAGATCTGGCGAGACCAGTTTGTAATGCAGATGTCAGATAACGCACACGTTTCTGCAGGATGAAGGAGTTGCCACTAAAACATTTCTTACAATGACCTACATCAGAAGATGGAAGTAGCCGCCCTGTTTTGGGTGGCAGGGCGCAGCTGGCGAGCTGCATTTACGTGTGTGAAACAGACAAACATGGATACCTGCTAATTAGTGCCGAGTAGCACACTGATAAAACTCTAGATATCAGTCATCAAACATGTGATTTGTTAGATAATCCCATTAAAAATGCTCCAAAAGACGCAAACGGGTCCGAGAAGGTCAGTTCAGTGACTCCAGCTGGCGAGGGTGAAGCCTAGCAGACGGCTACAGCTCCCCGTTTCAGCACGCCTGTCAGACAGACCGGCTACAGCTCAAACATTAATACCTCCCAGAATCCGGATGGATGAAATATTCTCTTTAAATCTCTGCTTCACAGTCGTGGGAAGAGGGAACCTATCCGTAAAGACCGAAGCCTTTTTTATTGCAGGCTGCAAACATGATTATTCCTGATGTAACGTTGGCTATTGTGAGCGTGTTGTGACCTCGGCACGTACGTTTTCAGCCCAGAGGTCGAAGCTTGTGTTTGTGCAGTCTCAGCAAATTCTGCACAGCTCCACAGTTTCCCGTAACGACTGAACTCATGTGACCGGCGAGGACCCTCGTGTCCTGAACTGTGACACGGCTGTGGTGGTGCAGATTACAGATTCAGATTTTTCTAAGGTCACGTAAACAATCCAGGAGCCCAGATGTGCAGCCGGATAAATCAATAGGGAAAGAAGGAGGTTAGAAGGATAGAAAAAGGTAACGTAACAACTTATTGCCGCTTAATGAAACTAATGATTCGCTGAGTCTTTATTAAAGAATGAAAGGTTTAAGACGGGCTACAAAAATCTGTTTACAGTAGCTGTAAATCTCTACAGTAGACGTGTGAAATGCCCTGTAGATTGGAAGTACATCAGGCCAGCTGTGTTTTGTCTCTTTAAGGCAGAGTTCGTCTTTCTAAGAGCGTTGAGGCTAAAGCGATGTCTCCCGACATGTCCGCAGGTTCTCGGGGACCTCCGAGCTGACAACCAGAGGCTCAAGGATGAGAACGCCGCTCTGATTCGAGTCATTAGCAAACTCTCGAGATGAACCTGTGACAGAAAATATTCACCTCCATGGACGTAACAAGTATTACAGGATGTATGTTTTTGTCCAGCACGGACGACACAAACGAGGAAGAGACACACACTGCACAACTTTCAACAGTAACTGGAGTAACGTCATTTTCAGGGTTATTGTCTGTGTTTGGGCCTTTTATGTTTTGGCAGATCTACTGTAAACCAAGCTGAACTTCACCTCCTGTGGACGGACAGGATGTCCCTGCTTCCCACTCCCACATTTTTTTTTTTTTTTTAAATAAGTTTTTATTGTTGTATTTTTTAAAAAAAGAAATTAAATATTTTAATGTGCTTCGCTCTGGTGAAACTTTGTATTAAGAGACTTAAAGCCATGCACAGTGAGAGCTCAGTGTGTTTTTAGACAGGGTGAAAGATTTGCATAAGAGCCGGTCAGGTGGTTACTAGAAAAAGACACAAATAACGTCAACGTGCCAAAAACCAGCCCCGGCTGTTTTTTAATGTCCTTTTGGGGGGGGAACCTCAAGCGGTCAGTGTGTTTCTCAGGACGACGCTTGGGCCGATGCTTTCTGTTTTTAGCTGGCTGCTGTAGAAGATGGACCAAATTCGCACATCTCCCGGCTCCTCTGGATGCATGTTAAACATTTATTCAGGGGCCGGCCGTCCTGAGGACATGATGTAAAGGTGTAGTCGCAGCTTCAGGAGAGTTTTAGGTGCTAATCATGGACGTCAGGCACAGCTCGTGTTCAGAGGGACGTTTACAGAAAATATATGTCACACAGGTATTTCAGGAGGCAGAGGACGCATGCTCCAACTTAACTGTGCTTTACTCGTAGTTCTATTTTGCCATTTTTGACTGGATGCTTGTGAAAGCCCCCCCCATCCCCAGCTAAGTATTCACCATGTGACAGACGGCCGTTGTCCAACAGGAAGGCCGGATGGGTCAGTTTTTGAATGTTTACTTCAATTTTAAAGATAAAACCAACCACAACAAATGCATGTTATATTGTATTTTGATGCCGTGCCTTTCGATATGCATTTGTAAGTAATATTTCTATTTTGCTTTGGCAGTGTACACTGTTGAGTATAAAATACAGTATGGGCATAAATGTTGACGTATCTGTCGTTTGTTTTTTGTTGATAAAGATCAATCCCACATTACATGTGAATAAAACATCGAGGCGCACATTTTATTTAAGTTTTCACTCTCAACTTCTTAAAAATATTTCAAAACTCTGAAACGGCTCTCGTGTCCAGTGGATCTGATTTTGCCCATAAATCATTAGAATTCAGCTAAAGCATCCTGATTGTTCACTTAAGGATTTACAACAGGAGACACCCCCTCCATGGCGCCTGTTTTCAAACGATAATTAGACCTCCTAAGTGTAATTATACCACAACAGAAGTTCAGGAGGCAGCTCGCTTCATGCCTGAACTTAAAAGACGCAGTGAAATTCCTGAGACTCTCAGGAACGTGTTTTTCTACACGTTAACCTACAAAGTTAAAAATGGGACCGTTTCCCTTTCGATCT